TTAGGGCGGTGGGGTAGCCTAGTGGTTAAAGCGTTGGCTCGTCATGCCGAAGACGCGGGTTCGATTCCCCTCATGGGTACACTACAATGTGTGAAGCCCATTTCTGGTGTCCCCTGCCATGATATTGCTGGAATATTGCTAAAAGCGGCGTAAAACCATACTCACTCACTCTTTTACCAACTTGATAGGGACAGTGTTTTGTAATCTTGTAGCCTTAAAAAGGTTTATATAGGTATTCCAAATGACAGTTGACAACAGTATGACTTATTCCTTCCAAATCTATTTACCTCTCATTTCATTCACACGCTAAAATTTTCTTATGTTCTTTGTGTGTGAACTTTGAACCTAGTAGTTTATTAAAGTATTATCTGCAAAGGAATTCACCGGTTTGTTACGACTAGTACTACTACCACTACCTAGCTTGGGAAAGCTGCATTCTGAATGTTTTATGTCACCTTCCTGTTAGACATTTCCATGATCGGTCAAAGTTGACAAAAGGTCATTGTGATGTGACCTGTATGTCATGAAAACTGTGAGTGGAAATCTTTAAACATTTTTGGACACAGTTATCAAATTGGCTCACCAAGATCCCATTGTATAGACGATGTGTCACCAAAAGCATAAGGTTTATTTTGCAAAATATATCAAATTAAGTTATAATGTGCAAAAGTTTGAGTATATTTAATTTTCCGTTTGCAGCCTCCAGATATAAAGAATTGTTTCATTTAGTTCCAGATACTTTACACAATTAATGATGATGACTGTGCTTCTGATTATTTTGTCTCCACTGTAAGAACAGACTGATGGATGTTTACTCACAGTTGAAATATCTGCTGATGTTACTGTTATTGGGCACATCAGTATGAAATCACAAATCTTGCTTTTCTTCCAGGGCACATAAATGAATGAGTATGGTATGTAGTTTGCTCTAAGATCAGTAGGCATTAGTAGTTGACTTTTATAAGCTGAACCTACCGGACTGAACAAAGTTTCACTATACTTGGGCCTTGCAATAGTGCCTGTCATCTCATTTTCAATTGATGGATCAGTTTGAAGTTAAGATACTTCATCATCTTCAAGTGTTTTACAATGTACAGTCCGTTTGGGTTCAAATGAGAAGGATGAATGATTAAATAACTTCGAAATAGGGATAAGTTCACAAAACACAAATAAGACACATGTACCCAACAGGATCTGCAATCTGACATTTTATGATCGATCATGGCAAAGTTGTTTAAGAAACTATCGTGTAATATTCATCCTTCTCCTTTGAACCCAAACGGACTGTAGGTGTCTCTCTGTCCCTCCGTCAGTATGTGGGAACACATTTCTAAAATTTTCTGTTTATAAAACAAAACTACCCATGTTCGCTATATTTTGATGAACTGAAATAGGAAAGGGTTTTTAGCCCTAACTCTTTTCCAAAGTTTTACCCAGACATACATTAGATTGGTCAGCAGTGCTTGTGTGAGGGATAACGCTTCAGATTTTGAGAAAAATTTAAGAAAGATTTATGGACATGCAACATTTAATACTTTTTGAAGTGTTAAGTAAAACATCACATTGCTAAGGTGTTTTTCATGACAAAGATGGCAAGCATCATACTTTTTGTTGTCGCTGCTGCCATATTGATTACCGGTACACAAAGAAGTGTCACACAGCAATATATTAATAGATCATATATACAGATTTGTTTCAAAACAATAACACTTAGTCTCTGCAACTATGTAAGTTTGATAGAAATGTAAAACTGCATGTAAGCTGAAAAGGAGCCCACTGAGATGATAGTCATAACCTTAACTTGGACAAAATCCGGAGTTGCTTTATTACTGTGAGACAGAAAACACACCAATTGGTTAATTGAAAATCTTACCTGAATTATCCGTCTTAGAGCAGTGTGCATGTTGAGACTCAAATATTGATCATGTTGAAGTTTCACTGCGTAACCTGACATGATGCTTGACTACTTCTGATTTTTTGTAGATAATACTTTGACAGTGAACAAGAATAACAAACTGATGAAATGAAAATTGTTGATGTTTTTTTTAAAGACAACTGGATTTGCTCATGCATACAATCTCTGCCAAACAAAATATTTGACAAGATTGGTGTACGTGTTTTATTAAACCTTTTTATGGATCTTGCTGTCGATTTACATGTTATCATGATACATTGACAGGTAATACTGATATATTCAGTGGCACGCTTTAGGGCATGATCAGTAACACACTGTTTTTAACTGCAAATGTTCTTGTTAGATTGTTGTATTGTTTCTCAAATTTGCTCAGAGCTTTCACATTAAAAATATGCTGCATTATTCGATAAATTGTACATATTTCATGGTTAGACCAAACTAATTTTCTTTCTTGTTTTACAGATTTTTTGTCCCCAGAAAACCTAAAGGCAGGAGGGGGAAAAAATCACCCTTGAAAAAATATTCCTTCTAAATACTAAAAGTTTCACTTTTGGCAATTTATGAAGTGCATATGGGACAAAAAACGATCTAAGAAGAATTTCATGTCCGTAAAACAAAGAAACAAAATTGGTCTGGCCTTATTTAGGATTAATTGTTCTGTACCATTCAATAGTTGGTAGTATATATTTATTGTGTTGTGTTGTGTTATACAGTTGTGTTGTGGCCATCACAGGATTGGATTTTAGTTGACCTGTTATTTCACTGGATTAGTTGGGGAGAGTTATGAACAGCAGGTCTTACATTATTCACCTGCTTGGCCACCAAAGTGATGGCATAAATCATGCTGAGGAATCATGACTTGGGAACCAAAGGTACTACACATCCCCATGATCCCCACGTAGATGGTCTCTCTTCAGTTACTGGTGGTCTGTTGATAGGTCTATATTGTGGGGATGTGTTGGTGGGTGGCATCAGTAATACCCTGCTTGCTGTCACTGGTTTGAATTGAAAGCACAAGAAGAATCTAGTCTGAAGAGACAGTGAAAGAAATATCTTTCTTGCCAAATGAAAACTATTGAAAACAATTTATTTTTTTTCATCTCAATGATTGTTTTGTTTGTTTTTTATTATGAAGTTTCAAGAGCAGACTGATTCCTCCGTGTGGCCTCATGGAATGTTTATTCTCCGTGATAACACATTTTCAGAACATTTCATTTTCTAGTATCTTGTCTAATTGTCTGCCAAAATGTCCAGATCAATTGCACATTTGGCATAGAAGAAAGAACTTTGGAAAGTTGAAAAAATCATTGAAATGTACTAGTGTATATTTTTCTCTAGCAGAATCACCGTAACATGCTTTTTGGATGTATTTATTTGTTTTTTAATGGATTAATTATACTAATTAGGGCAACAAGTATAATAGGTCAGTGACTGGTTTTCTTTGTAGGTACAAAGCTAGCACTAGAGGGACATATTTTCAAAGTCAAAGGAATATTTTACTATTGATCACAGGCAGCATTTAAAACCATGGATGAATGTGCTATAAATATGATAAAGCAATTCACAGATGCACTTTCTGATTAGGGTATGGTTTGCTCTGCTGCCTAGCAACCGTAGCTAGCCTGGCATCGTGTCCATGTTTTCACTAACAGCAGCATCAAAGCACAATGAAAACTAATGATCTCGTTATAATGATCATATGATGATATTTTGTTTCTTGCTCTCCTATGTGAATTTATCATTGTGACAATCAATTCCATCATGGAAATGATTATTTAATGCTTTTATCAAAAATCGCATCTGGTCTGATTTCTTTTTCATTCTGATCGGAGAAAGTTTTTAAAGAGAGGCAGTATACATTCAAAGTGAATCTAATCATTTTAAGCATATGGTTTGATCATTTATGATGGCACACGTTCTTAATACAGCACAAAGGTCAAAAAATATTTTTCTGAAAATTGATGATCACGGAGAGTAGGTAGTTATGGGACCATGTTCAACAATTTTGACTCTTAACAATTTCCAAGCTTCAGTATTGCCCCACACATTTGGTATCTCCTTGTGCATGTGATTTTTTTCAAGTATGCCACTGTTCACCTAAAATCAAATGGTTGAGATTGTTTACTCAATCCCATTACTTGCCTATGTTAAGAAAGCAGTTGGGTAGGCAAGTGGTTAAAGTGTTTGCTCGTCATGTCAAAGATCCAGGTTCAATTCCCAACATGGGTGTAATGAGTGAAGCCGAGTTCATTGCCTAGGGGCTTTAAAGTAACATTTTATTGAAAAAATACTCTACAGCGAAATGTATCAAAATACAATATATCCTTCCTTACAAGTGATCACTTGCTTGATAATGGTGTTAGAACCTACACAGAAATGTCGCTCTCACTGAAAAAGAATCTCACCAATGACGACTTTTGTGGACTAAAAACTCCTTGCAGAATTCATTTTTGAAATACAGAACAGAGGTACAGATAAGCAGTGTATCTGCGTAAATTACGCAAATATTTATGTGAAAACTCAATTCCTATTAAGTCTATGGCGTACAAGTACGCTTGAATTTTGGTAAATACTCAATAAATGTGATCTTACGTGTGTACACACGAAAATGTTAAATCTTTGCTTACGTACCGGTGGATAGATAACATAACTGAGGTATATTGAGAGGTTCTTTTTCAGGACATGAACTTGACAACTTGCAGTCTTTCTTATCATTTCTCATATTACAGATCAAATATAAATAAACATTTAAACTTTTTTATATCTTTAAAATTAATGGAAAACGGCAAAATACCCAATTGAGTTTGAGTGAGGTGGGTACAATTTATTTGGTTACTCAAAGGAAAATTAGGATACCCAATTGAAATGAACACAAGCGAGTACATCACTCAATGACCAAAAAAGTTATATGTAGTTCTGTACGAAGGTCATAACTATGTATGACTTAGAAGCAAGTTTCTACAGCTTATAGTATATCTCTTTAGGCTCATTTTAGTATTAAGCTGGCACACTTTTAAGAGCAGTTTTTCATGTTTTATTGATTGCCTTGTAGATTCTGGCATGAGCCAGATTACGGTTGCCGCCTATGGCCGACCAACCTGAGTTCCAGCCCGGGGGGTCACGTCGACGAACACATCGTCACAGTGGGGCTGAGCCACGCACAACAGACACACTGACAAAACTGCTGAGGTAAGAACTTTTTTGTTTTAGCTCACCAAGTATTTCACATGGTCTCACACATGGTTGGATGTGTGGATTACATGGTGTAACTAAGCTTTTGATAAAACAGTTGCATGTGATTATTGAGACTTGTCAATAATTTATGTCATTGCCATACAATCTAATGATAGATATGATATGCCTCTTACACATGTGTTGGTTGGCCTTGAAGTTGGAGTATTCATTCACCATGCCAAAAACCCAGTTCGATTTTCCATGTGCTGACAAAGTATGCCGCACAGTTCTGGTGATTCCAGCAATGATATTTGTGGAATATTGTGTAAAACTATCTGTGGAAATTTTCTGATATATGATCGGATGACAATGAAGGTCAAGATTTATAAGGGTATATGCCTCCTACATATAACTGTGTTTATGAATAAAGATCTACGTTTTAACAAGCAAATATAGATTGTTGTTAAAGATCTGGGAAAGTAATGGTTGCTCATAAAGAATGGGCTTGATGGAGTGCAGTATACAGCAGATGTCTTTTGTGATACACAATAATCATGATCTTTTGAGTTAGGTCTCTTTTGCATCAACCTTTGGACATCAGCATTATCCTTTTCATGTAACTATAAGAAAACATTGCTAGAATTTCAGTATTTTTTTTGTTAATTCATGAGAATTCAACTTATCCCCCAGCCAGCCTAGAAAAATTTGAAATATGTAAGTTATCATTAGTTATGGGTCATGATTGTGTCAATGTCACTGACTCATGAAATGTCTTCAGTGGTGGAAATAACTTTAAAATTGCTAGTGTACTCCCGGTACAGTGGCACATGTAAAATCACTTGCCCTGATAATTTTTCCACTATACTGGCCGATTTTCTTGTTGATATTTTAAATATACAACATAATTAACATTGGAAAGTCAACAGGACACCGGTACAGTGTGATATACAAATTTGCTTGCCCAGCAGAAAAAAACACTGGACTGGAGCGTCGGGCAATGGGTTATTTCCACCCCTGGTCTTGTAAATAGTTCCATCAGGAAATGTATGTATGGCGTGGAAACATCACTTTGCAAAATGATATGTTCTTGTATGTCCTTGAAAGAACCCATCACTCAGTCTGATTTTAACATAAAAATTGGTTGTAACTTTGAATCGCCTTGATTGTTTCAGCACCCATACCTGTGGTCATGGGTTTCTCCAGGGTGTTAAACATCAGAAACTCGAATTACTTCCCACATTAAGCTCAAAAGCCCTGACATAAACTGGAATGCTGTTAAAAGCATAGTTAAACCAAACCAAACGTACCCATTAATAATGTTGCTATGTTTACATTGCAGTGGGGCTGAAGACCCAGCACCCACATCATCTGCAGTACCACCCTGCATTCTCAGTACGAAACAATTGGCAAAGTCAAAAACAGAAACAAAGAAGCCCAAGAAAAGACAGAGCTCTGGGGAGTCCATAGATTCTGAACCCAAAGTCAAAACAAAGAAGTCCTTTCACCACAAGTCAGACAGCAGTAGGAAGCTTTCTCCACACAAGACTCACAAGGTCTTCAAGAATAACAAAGTCGCTTCAAAAGCTGTTCCTGACACTTCAAGCATCCCTTTGGCTGATACAAGTGACCCTGCTCCAGGATCTCACATAATAGCAGATACTGTCACCATACCTTTACTGCCAGGAAGTCCGTCCAGATTCAGTCCAATCAAGAGTAAGTTGAGATCCAACATCAGAGCCACACTGAGTGAAGGTATCTCCTACTTCTCAAGGAGACGATCATCAGTCAAAGGAAAGAGCAAAAGCAAAAAGATCAAGAGTTCAAGAAGATCTGAGACAATCACTTCAGAAGACAAAGCTGACTCTGACCCCAAACCAGAAGTACAGCTTGCTACCACGTCAAGGTCCGAGGCCGAATCTGATCTACCACCCAAGCGACAGTGTCTCAGGTCATCCATACCTGAGGCTGAATCTTCCGTTACTTTGAAGGTTTCAACCTTAACTTCAAGAGGTGAACAGCCAACTGCTGAAAACCTCACGACCAAAACACCCTCTGGTGAGAGTAGTAGTAAACACAAGAGGGGTTCAAGAGGCAAGAAAACGGGATCCTGTGCTAGTAGCAGGTATGAGACTATTTGAAAATACCATTAATCATTGCAATCAATGAAGGAATGTGTAACCATGGGACTTTGCTTCATCTTGTCAATGTATCCATGGGAATTTTTATATGTGTCCCCATTGCCCAGTGGTTGACTTATGCGTCAAGTCTGTCGTGCAAAGCAACCTTCCGCTATGACAGTCATAAGTCTGTGTAAAGGTATAGGATATACAATCACCTTAGCACCAAGATTGCTTTGTACACCGAGGCACCAAGGTGGTTACTGTGAGTGACATGGCTGTTTGAGAGATTGACTTTCATGATTTTCTCTCAAATGAATTTGTAATATCTCAGTTAATTTTGTCAAGTGCAACCAAATATCGCATTATCATGGTTATATCTTTGTTTTTAAACTTAAAACCAAGTTCATTTTTCTATACAGTCATCAAATTGATCAAACTTTGAAAATAAACAACAGATTTCTACTTGTATCTTGGAATAAAAACTTGTATATGAACCTCCAAGCATGGTGAGTTCGAGTTAATGATAAAATGCTATAAGGAGTTTAATGTTTAATGTTTCAATGTTTAATATACGGAGAAAATGATGTAATTGGTTTAGGTTCGTGTAGAAAGTAGATGTCTGCAAGATGATACCAAATAGCATCTGCTAGGTTTAAAGCTGAATCAGTTAATGTTTATTCAGCCAGTAACTTGAACCTTTTTAATTGTTTTCAAGTTTCGGGATCACCTTCAATTTCAGTAGGAGACGTGCAGTGCAAAATTTAATTTTGATATTTTGGATGGGTTTATTATTGTATTAATTTATATTTTTATGCCCCCGCCATAAATATGGCAGGGGCATATAGGGTTACCCTCGGTGTCCGTCCGTCCGAAACAGGGAATGTATTCTATCCACTTCTCCACCATAACCGCTCTGTGGAATTCAATGAACTTATACATGGGCTTTCTTGGGACTCTAATGGTGTGCATCTCATATTTTGTTTTTTTATTTTATTGGTTTTTTTTGTAAGTTTAGAGACATTTGAACTTAGGTACATTTTGCTGAATTTCTCTATGATAGTGTAATACGGGATGAAGTCTATCCACTTCTCCACAAAAACTGCTCAACAGAATTGAATGAACTTCTACATGTCTTTTGTAGGGACTCTAAAGGTGTGCATTTCATAATTTTTTATGCAATTTCTTACTTTTGTCACTTTTACAGATGTTTGAACTTAGTTGAATTTTGTTCTATTCAGCCAGTGTTCGTTCCATCCAACAGGGGTGTACGTTATCCACTTCTCCTCAAAAACTACTTTATGGAATTCTTTTAGATTACACATGTGCTTTATAGGGACACTAAACGTGCATCTCATATTTTGATTTTGTATTTTATTTATTTTTCCAATTTTAATGCCGTTTGAACTTAGATCAATTTTGTTGAATTTCTCTCTGAATATAGTGTTGTAGGGGGTGAAGTCTATCAACTTCTCCACAAAAACTGCTCAACAGAATTGATTAAGCTTATACATGTGTTTCATCGAGACTCGAAAGGTGTGCATGTCATAGTTGCATAGATGTTTATTGAACTTGTTCGTGAATTTTGTTCAATTATTGATCTTTATATGTCTTATGAATGTCAACGGGGGCATCCGTGTCCCTGGACACAATTTTTTCTTGTTTTAACATTGCATAGGGTCAAAACATCACAATTCTGTCAAAATGTCCCCTAGTTTGTTTTGGATAGGAACAAAACTGAGATGTTTTCGTAACATGTCTCTGAAGTGGTGTCAAAATGTGTTTAGTATAGGGGATTTTTCTATCAGAAATTATTCATCCAACCTGCTCATGTGAACTCTTCAGCATGTCATGAAATGATCATGGTCACAAGATGTAAAATTAGTGAAACTGGTCTCAGGTATTGGGCAATTGTTAACTTCCTTCTTTGAACATTACACTTCACATGAACCACCTCATGGATGGGACCCTGCTATAAAAAATATGTCAAAGATCAAGGCCAGTATTGTGCTTTATGTGAAAACATATAGGCATGGGTACTGTGGCACAGGTGCCTCTTGACATTCAGGAGACATTGTTTCGTGAGTATCTTCCAAGTCATGTTTGAAGTTGTTGTGAAACATATCTGTTTTGACAGTTGCTGTTCGTACCCAATACATTCCTGGAACTTGAGTAAGTGTTCGATCTAAGAAACTGGCTTGATTATTGTCAAGGATAGGTATTATGTTTTCAAACTGAAAGTGACTGGTGTGATAGGGATTGTCCTGCGTTTGCATATGAATGCCTAGTATAGAAATGATTTCCTTCAGCATGTTTTGTAATGTAAAATCTTTAATGGAATGAACTGATTTATGTTGAATATGACGTTTTGTAGTGGGCGGCGTTCCTCTGCGTGGGCTCGGCGTCAAGGAGTCAATCCGCCTACCGGGTGCCGCAGCAGTGGTTCGGGATCTGCCCGGGAACGATCAGGGAGCGGAAAACCGCCATCATCAAGCCTGATGTCTGGACAGGACGCCCCTGCCAACAATGCTGCAGGGGGGGACAGGTCAGCGAGAATCTGACGGCGCTCAAGGAGCCACGCCCACAGGGGCTGCAAGTAAGTTGATAATTTCTTCTACTATTAAAATGTAAGATTTCCTTTGGACCCACAATGGCCCTTGAAAACAATAAGTGATTCTACCCCTCAAAAACTGAGTTTTTTGGGGGTTTTTTTTGCATATAATGAGATAAGCCTTGGACTCATCATCGCAGAATTCACTTATTGACGCATCACATTCCTGAAAATTTCTTATTGTAACAAGGCAATTCCTGCTCACAAAGACATCACACATTGTCACTTTTTAAGTATGTGACCAGTGGTCTCTGAAAGCAGCCTCAAAGCATACATAAAATATTTCCGACACATCAACATCTTTCCCAAATATCAATGCGGAAAAAAGGAAGTTAGAAAGCAGCGAGTGAGAGAAGTAAGAGTGGTTCAATTGTTGGTTCATTTAGCAAGCTTAGTGCTTTTAGCTAACAGGCCTGTCAGATTTTCTTGTATATATGCTTTTGCATGTAGATACTGTAGACTTTGTTGAGGGTAACTGACCAAATGCTCTGGTGATGTTAAGTTATCAGTCAAAACCCTACGATTTACTTTCACACACACCTCTGCTACCCTAACCTACCCTACCCTGTGAAGATCCTGGTTAGAGTTTGTGTTCAGTAACCCATGCTTGTCGAACAGGCGACTAACAGGATTGGGTGGTCAGCCTCGCTGTGTGGTTAACACATGTCATCGTATCCCAATTTTGCAGATCAATGCTCATGCTGTTGATCACTGGATTGTCTGGTCCAGAGTCGATTATTTACAGACCGCCATCATATAGTTCTAATATTGCTAAGTGCAGAGGTAAACAACAAACAAGCAAAATAACCCTAACTTAACCAAATGCACCTAGATGCACACATCAAACTGCGCAATGTAATTTTTTATGCATTATGATACTTTCTTACAATCCAATATGTGAATTATGTGTCATGATACTTTACTTATTTGTGTGAAGCATGTGTCACAGGGTTCAAAATCTACGCTAGTCAGCTAGCCCGAGGCTAGTAAATCTGCAGGACTACCAAAACATCTAACAGTACTAGTCCGCCGGGCTACCAGGCAGTAGTCGCATCAAAATTATGTATAACTTTAGGAACCTAACTAACATATGATTCATTAATTTAATCTATCACTTTTCACAATGTCTGAAAACATGTATTACATTTCAAATGACCATATATTATCGACAAAATTAGAATTATAAGCTATTTTCGCAATGTTCTTGAAAAAACAATTTTCGGACACATGCTTTGGTAACGGGTCCACATGAAAGTTGTCAAAGAGCAAAGTAACTATGTTTCGAGATAATAATTAAACAAATTGAATAAACTGAAGAATATATTCAATAACAGTACTCATAAAAGTTGTCAAACGTACGTTACAACTTACTATTTCCATGTTTATTGTGCAATCGTGTAATGTAATTCAAGTGACATCTCGGCCTTCATCGCCTCGAACCTCGTGCTCGGACACAATGTTTAATGCTACAATATATGTATGAAGCATTTTTGTCACAGGTCATAACCTAGCACGACACGTCCACTAAGGTCCAGAATATACGTAACACATTCAGAATAGCATAAATTTACCTAAAACTTTCGTCTGAATCTTAAATGTTTCGTTTACGAGGACGGTATCCATTGCTGTAATATGATTGGCTGCCTTAGGTCACGTGTGTGATTTTGACCAATCACGATCCTCGTAGCAGACTGTGACATAAAAGCGTCATTAGAAACCAATCTTTATCCAATAAAATCGCTTCTTACAACTGTGAAAATACTCTTGGCTAGGGTACAGTGATATTGTTGATGTTCAGAGCTTTCGAACGATACCCGCCATCAAACGAATCGCCTCACATGTTTTTTATACGAAGCTTTGAAAACGGAGGTATTTCCCACTGTTGTATCACGTTAACGAGCCGAAAGCCAATGGCATCGGGAAATAGACGACCATATATTTGAGAAATCTCTTTTTTGTATTTGTAGTTTGCTGATTATGTAAACATGAAAATAGAAATGAAAAACGTAAGGGGATAATTATGACATGTTACAAATGGAAAAAATCGCCACATTGTTTGCTCCCTTCGTGGATTATCGGGACATTATAAATGTGTAAGCTTGCATTTTCATTAAATATTAACTTATTTACGTTGTAGTTGTATTATTTGAATAATATGATCATATCCATCTGCCATGACTGAATTAAACTATGCCAAAACATATTGTGTTTGTTTGTTAGTTATGATACCACACCTCTGCCAATACTTGGGAGATAAACCTAGTGTGTTTGAAAATCAGAGACATGCTTTACTGAATTGATGGCGACTAAATATTTCAATTGAAACCTCACACTACGCGGTTCCAATTGAAATTTAGTATTTCATGTTCTTTCATGGGTCTACCATGACCCATTTAAAATCGAACTTCCTCGCTCTACGGAAGACACGGCTTAATCCGGCATGGGACGAGAGGCTAATTGAACTCGTCTGTGAAGAGAGCGGTAGGTGCCGTTCGTATTTTTTTAACATTACAACATAACAATTTTCTGTCCAAAGAAATCAAACTACTGTTTATTCAATGCAATTATGTAATACCCGAGATCTTGGGGTTTTTTTCATCCCACCTCCACACGACTAAAACCAGCCTATTGTTTTGTGTGCCGTGAAACTGTACACCCCTGGCCACACTTTAATGGAATCGTCTGACCTACTTATTTTCTTCGAAGTAGACAGTTACGCAACAGTTTGAAATGGCGGACGAGCCAGTGTTTACATTTTGCGAAAGCTTGAAATTTGAAGTGACAGTGGACAATACTTGACTGACTGTCGAATCTGAACCCTGCAGAATCGAAGAATAGATCCTTTCCTGATCAGCCTCACGACCTGTAACTCATCAAAGACTGTTGATTTTATGACCGGCCGATCATGATTTCACGCATTACTGCCTCCACCCGGCATGCGACAAAAGGGTGACAGTGCTGCTGCTTAGTGTACATGCGACTAACTTGTGATTCCTTGGAACTTTGTTTTCATCGCTTGGGACTGGACTGTGTCCAAGCGTTTTTCAAAGTAGATGAACATAACAGTGACAACCTTGCAGAGAGCAGAATTATTTTGTGAACGATGCAACGGGATATGATGGAGTATGACTATGAGTGGCATAAATGTGGTGTTTCGCCAGACCGTTAGATCTATCTTGCAAATTTCCCATTCTAAACGGAATTAAATATACCATTTACAAGGTAGGTAAATGTTTACTAATGTTTTGCTGCATATTTTGCATAGATAGGGATGTATTTTTACAAGGCTTTCTGATTTATATGTTAGATATTGTTTTGTTTATGTTTGGGGCTGTGTATTGTAATTGAGTTTGAATATTTTTATAATAGAAGGTAATATGATAGTGAGGTTCCCTCATAATTGTGAGGGGGTAATCATATAATTGTATTTTTCGAGTTTAAATAAATGTTTTATCAGCATTTCCATCACGTTCGTTGTGTTGATATTAGTCATGTTGGTGGTCAAGCTGAAGTAGTGCAGCAGTGTTCTATACGTGCGCAGTGAAGCGCAATGAAATCAAACGCATTTTTAATCCAAAAATTTCCAATTGCCTATGTGGAATATTTGGAAGTCAGCGTCAAAATCCATGGAGTTGTTGTTATGATCCGTCATTGTGGTCAAACGGAAGTAGTTCTCACAATAAGATTTGTCAATGCGCGGTGAAGTGGCCTTACAATCAGATGAGCGTCAATCCACTATTGATGCCGTCTGATATTTCTGAACAACCAATCAGAATCTAGTATTTTCTTGATTCATGGTAGAATGCTTGACAAAGTCAAATTAATTTTTGGGTTTATTAAAGATTGAAATTTGAGGACTACCAAAGGACTAGTAGTTTTGTGAGAGTCACTAGTCCTCATGGCTAGTGGACTTTTTAAAGAGATTTCTAACCCTGGTGTCATCTTTTCATAGACAGGATGTCCAAATACCTGTCATACTGGTGATTTAAGGTTTGCAGGGTTTGTAGCCTTATAAAGCCAAAGATTGACCTCCACACTTCAAGATTACTAAATTATGTTTTGATTGGAGGCTAGATACTTAACTACTTAGACAATGAAATTGTTTAGCTTAGGTGAAGCACAAGAAAGGAACTCGATACCAACCATGTTGATAATACCCTACAGGCAGTCAGGTTCATGTTATCATCAATTTAAATAGCACAATGGATGAAAACAATTTTGTTTTCACTTCCTGTTAGGTGGAGCAGTTAAGAAATGCAAACACTTAAGGTAGAAATCAATATATTTTACTTAGTGTGTGATAGTGATTGATACTTGTATCTGAAGTAAGACAATCACAATCCACTAAAGTATCCTCCCACCAATACATGGTATTCAGATTTTGTCATATATCAGCAGACAGACATACTCTGTCTTATGTTGAACTAAGTAAAATAATTATGTTTCTTCAAAATAGTGATATGTTGCTACCAGTAGAACATTTTGTTGTGTAATAATTCTTTCTTATATCAAAACAACATCCAAACATGTCAACTCAAACTATCAATTCACTAACACATTTTGATTAGTTTCATCAGAGAAATCAGGTAAAATTTCATTTTGAACAGATGTCCATGCTAAGTTCTTCATATATGTTTTGCAAACATATTGATAATATCTTTTTCATATTCAGTAGACAATGGCTTCCAATAACAGCAAATAAGGCTGTTATATGTGTTATTGTCTAAACTGTGTCATGTGGAACTGGTGTGTTTTGATTAATAACGGAGTAACAGAGTTACTTCCCTTTGACCATTGTATATATTGATTTATTGGCTTCAAGATCCGAGTGTATGATGCATGGTCACAACACAGCTTGTTTCAGAGGCTGTAGGAGTTTCTGAGATAAATATAACAAGTGAGTTATGTGAAAGATTAAGAATACAAGACTGGCAATAGCAGTGTAGAATCAATGCTAAGTCTTAGCATTACAGATATCACAAGGA